ATAATGAGGGAAGAAATGTTTAGGCAAACAGGGTTTGTTGTCAGGACCATACCACACACCAGTTCGAAACGTAGCACCGGAAGCCTTCCACAGGGAAATCTCAGGAGGAGTGGCAGTGGATTGAACTGCAGAAAGTGTGGAGGACATGTCATATGTGAGTGCAACAGCCTGTGTACTTGAAGGAGGAAGTGGTAGGTGGCTGCAGCTTTAGCCGCAGCATCAGTTGTGGCATATCCTCTAGACACCACATCTATAGCACGTGTGTGTGCGCAGCACATTTGCATACAGCAACAGCTCGAGGGAGCAGAATGGCTGACAGGAGATAACATGACCCAGAAAAGTGACAGTTTGTTGAACAAACTGCAGTTTACTGAGGCTGACTTTATGGGCCCAGATGTGTCAGCAAAGCGATCGTATCTGTTTCACACTGCTCCTGTGTGGGACTGGCAATGAGTAGATCATCAACATACTACAAGAGAGCTGAACCTGGAATGAGGAGGAGAGGTTCAAGACTGTTCCTGAGAGCCTGATTATATAATGATGGAGACTCACAGTAGCCTTGACAAAGGCGTSTGAATGTGTAGGCCTTGTTTTCAAAGTTAAAAGCAAACCAGGACTGGCTGTCCTTGTGAACAGGAACGCTAAAAAAGCATTGGATAAATCTACAACTGAAAACCACTCTGCATCAGGCGGAATTTGGGAAAGCAACGTGTACGGGTTGGGAACAATAGGTGATTGAGCAATTACAGCATCATTCACAGCCTTCAAATCCTGCACAAATCACCACTCAGTAGGTTGACCTTTATCTCTGATTTTATTAACTGGAAACAGTGGAGTACGGACAGGCGAATCAGGTCAGGGGATAATTACACCAGCCTGCAACAGAGATTCAAAAACAGGGCGTATCCCATCAACAGCTTCCTGTCTGATTGGGTAATTAACTGGGTAAAGGTTTCTGATGAGACACACATCCTTTGCCCACAGCGTTTCTGGCAGGTCTGCAAGCAGAGGAGAAACATCTGAGGGGTTTGACAACATGATGTGAGAATGGAGATAGTCATCAACCACATACAATGATCGTGTGGCAGGAAAACACTGATCTGGAGAAAATTTTAAACTGAAAGCATTGTTAACTGCCAGTCACTGACTGTCTGAGATGATCTGACAAATGGTCCAAGGTCCCTCCGCTGGTCACGTGATTTGGAGAGCGAGATGTGAGGGCTGGAATTCGGAATGCAGAACAGTGACTTCTGTTGGTCAGTGAGTGAGACAGCAGCTGCACTCCTGGAACCAGACCAGAAGATGTTAGACACAACCAGAGAGTCCTCAGGAGAGGAGAAAAACACAGTTTCATAAGAATGATCGGATGCATCTGTCACATGTGAAGTACAATGCAATGCCTCTTTGTGCATAAACTCAGAAGAAGAAGTGACAAGAGAGTGTGACATGGAAAGCAGATCAGTAGAAACATTCGTCGGGAGATGCCACTGAACAGCGGCTCATGTGTGGTCTGTGACATGAGGAAAGGAGGTGAGGAGGAATCATGTGTAACCCTCACGCCTTCATGGGAGGATACCAGATTGAGACCTAGCAAAATCATCAAATCTCTTCCCAGGAGGTTGATGGGACAACAGGGAGAAAATAAAAACTCATGATTGAAACTTATTTGATGTGTGTCCAACTGAGCAGCGCATTGGAGAGATAAAATAAAGCGAACACTCATTTCAGGAAGTGTGGGCAAATCAGACATCCTAACCACAGAATAACCTGCACCAGAGTTGACCATAAAAATTTAAGTTTGTGACCATTAACACACAGTTCAAGTTGAGGCATTTTCTTGAAAGCGTCGCTATTGTATTTAACATAAGATCCAACAGGTTCGGATGTGGAGGCTCTTGCAGCACCGTCGCTGCTGGGGGCAGTCTACTGCCCAGTGTCCCTTCTGCCTGCAGATGTAAGACTCATCTCTGGCAACTGGGGCCTTTCGATAGTACCCACGTCCACGTCCCCTCCCTTCTCTTCCTGGAGCCGTGAAGTTGTCTCTGCTGGTGCCGCCACCATGGTTAAAGATCAGTTGGACCTAATTTTTTCATCAGGAGTCGTCTGATTTCAGGCATCGTTGGCATGAATTAATGGCAAAATACCTCAAACTGGGTGGCAAAAGCTGTGCCTAAGTTACGTGGATCAGGGAGATGAGTCAGTGCTTCAGTCATGTCAGTGTCAGTCCATGGGCGGTAGACAAGGGCTGGGCCTGTTGGTCCCATGGTGTTGATTGTGACGAGTACGGCCCGCAATGGGCAAGAAGGAAAGTCTCCGCGAATCTGTTTCTTTCTATGGCAAAACAGGAAAATGCCCCCAACTGGACCACCAGTTGTATTGGGTAGTGATAATAACAGGTTAGATCAACATTATTACTGACAATAATCAAGAGACAGTGACTAATCCCCTTTTAGCAAATAAAACCATAAATGTGTTATTTCCTATATCTGTTTGATTTTCTTTTTGAGATATCATCTAAACAGTCATGAAAAAAATCTGAATTTCAACATCTTACCAAATATAAGATGACCAAAGAGAGGTCTTTGGATCCCTGTGAAGAAGGTCCGGAACCCCATCATCAAGAAAGGACATGAACTCTGAGGTTACATCTGCCAAGTGCATAGCAACAGTCATGGCATTGGATAGTTAAGGGTCAAAATGTAAAAGGTGTCGGTCTAGTTTCGAATCGTCCGTCTGCACATACGCCAGACAGTTCCTCTTATGCAAGCACAATTGTGTTTCTATATGAGTTATTGTTGAACACAGCACACGAGTATTGATCTGACATAGGAAAGAGTTCAAGCAAAGTTCATATGCAAGTTTTCCATTACTAGCGGGAGAGGCCCCGGTGTAAGCTCGTCCTCAATCTCTAGCTGGCTGCTAAATCTGTAAATCGGACCAAGCTGCTTTATCATAATTTTTTATTTTGAAAGGATGTTTTTGTAAAGAAATTACAGGATTTGCCATACTTCCCCTTGAAGTAGCTATACAGTATGTGTGCAGGTCAGTGATAGCGGATCATTTCGTCATTGATTTGTAATTTTGTAATTACAGTCCTGCAACTGACATAGTAAAAGAGGTGGACATTGATCTTTTCTTGTGTATAAACCTTATATAAATCTTTATATACAGTCTATGGTATAAACACTACGTATTTGATCAAACAGTTAATTGTAGACATACTATTGCACTTAAGCAAACACTCCTCGTGGAGCTTAATGCTGATTCAAGATACTTTAACTGAACCCACTGAGCACGTTCAGATAAAACCGTTAGATTGAAACATTTCCATTACAATGAACCCATTGAGTGCTGGATCCAAAATCATACCAAAATCAAAGAAACTTGCGTGACATTGATCACAGCAACTCATAATGTTACTCAGTACTGTGTATGGCCCCTACGTGTATGCGCACCTGCCAACATCTGGGCATGCTCCTGATGATTTGGCAGATGGTTTTGATTGATTTAATTTATTATCCCCAAGGGGCAATTTATTTAACAGCCAGCAATAAATAAAGGACAGTAGACAACATGAAAAAACTATTTACATAGAGCTATTTAAAAGGCCAATTGCAGTAGAGACAAATGAGTTGTTAAGTCTTTTGGTCCTGCATCTTGGCAGAGAATATCTGTGGCCAGAGGGAAACAACATGAACTCTTTACACAGTGGGTGACTAGCATCAGACAGGACTGAGCGAGACTTTGTAGAGGCTGGGCAGGTCAGTCAAGGTTAACTGCAATCTTGCTTGGCAGCTTCTGATGCACGGATACATAATGTCCCATAGGTGCTTAATTGGATTTAGGTCAGGGGAATGAGAGGGCCAGTCAATGGCATCAATGCCTTTGTCATCAAGGAACTGCCTGCGCACTCTGGCCACATGAGGCTGGACATTGTCCTGCACCAGGAGGAACCCGGGGCCCACTGCACCAGCGTAAGGTCTTGCAATCTCTCTGAGGATTTCATCCCAGTACCTAACAACGATCAAGGTGCCATTTGCTATGACATGGAGGTCTGTGCAACCCTCCAAGGATATGCCTCATCAGACCATCACTGACCCAACACCAAACTGGTCATGCTGGATGATATTATAGGCAGCATTCACCACAGCTTCTCCAGACTCTTTCACGCCTGTTGCATGTACTCCTGTTGTGAACCTGCTCCCATCTGTGAAGAGAATGGGGCGCCATTGGCGAACCTGCCAATTCTGGTATTCTCTGGCAAATGCCAATCAAGCTGCATGGTGCTGGGCTGTGAGCACAGGTTTGTTCAGAAAACATGCACACCTGTAGCCTGCTGGAGGTCATTTTGTAGGGCTCTGGCAGTGTTCCCCAGGTCTCTTGGTATCTCCTCCATGCTGGAGGAGATAGATTGTGCTGGGAGAAACAGCAAACCTTCTTGTGACCGCACGTATGAATTTGCCTTCCTGGAGGAGCTGGACTACCTGTGCAACCTGATCGGGCTGCAGATACTGCCTTGTGCTACCAGAAGGGACAAGGATGCTAGCAGAACACAAAACTAGAGAAGAAAAGGGTCAGGAGGGACAAAGAGAGAGCAGCTGTCTGTGGCTAGCAAATGCAAAACCATTCCCTTTTTGGGGGTTGTCTTGGTATTGCTTGAGTGATATCCCTGACTTGCTGTTATACTGTGATGATTAAGTGTTCCTTTAATTGTTTTAGGCAATGTATAGCAGTGTATCTTAAGTGAAATGTGTATATTACGTACATATTCCCTGTAGTTTATTTTTATTTTATTTTTATACTTTACTGTGTTCCTTTTTTCTTACATTCTGACTGCTGCTGTAGCTGAGTGAATTTCCTTGGCAAGGGATCAATCAAGTTTATGTTTTGAAAGTGACTAAAATCACATATTTTTTTGTTGTCTCTGTTTAATAGCTCAGACCAGAGGGGATATTGCATTGAATTACAGTCAATCTTGGCTTAATGTTCACATGTTTCAGTTCTGTGCAGTGTTGTTGAAGCACACTGCACCAGCAGTTCGAGAGGTGACGCAGCGCATCGTCTTATCCATGTACCAGCAGCACAGGAGTGCCATTCTCAGCTACCTTCCACCCAGCGATGATCCTGAACGCAACGAATTCCTCTACAAAACCCTCTTTGATGGGTTTGCCAAAATTGATGGAAAGCTGGTAAGATTTATTTTTTCAAATGAAATGAATCTTTTATTGATACTCAACATGTGCCTCACTTGAAGAGGGGATATTATAATATATCTAAAATTTACTGGGAGCCAATGAAATGAAGCTAAAATCTGAATAATGTGCTCTCTTTTAGCAGATTTGCAGAGGAGTCTAGCCACTGCGTTTTGGACGAGCTGTAATTTATGTAGACTCTGCTCTGGCAGGTGATGAGTGAATTGCAATAATCCAAACGAGAAAATAAATGAAAGCATGAATGACAATCTCTAAGTTTTTCTGGATCTTCCTGAACTGCAAAAAACATGACTGGAATAACTATGTTGCTTATTGAAGGTGAGGTCATTATCAGAAAGGTTTATTTTACAGTATAGACCACCACCACCAAGGGACAAACACATTTTTCACATTTTCAACACAAAGGTTCTTGGTTCAAATCCCAGTTTGCATATTCCCCTGTGTCTCAATACATTTTCTCCGGGTACCCTGGCTTCCTCCCACAGTCCAAAGACATGCAGACTGGGATCAATTTATGTGAGAGTGGATGGTTATTGGTCTCTGTATGTTGGCCTTGTGATAGGCTGATGACCTGTCCAGGGTGTACCTAGCCTCTCACCCAATTTCAGCTGGAATTGGCTCCAGCTCCCCCATGACCCTTAACGGATGAGTGGTATAGATAATGGATGGATGGAAGGGTTGGATTTGTTGCTGTATACTCGTGTCATCACAATGCAAGCAGTAATGAAGACAGCCTGTGGTCCAAAGCTGGCATTGTGCAATTTTGTTTTCCATGTGACTGAGCTTAATTTCTCGTGGTGTTATTAGAGACCTTGTGTTCCCGTTACGTAGTGAAAGCTGTTGCCATCACAACAACACCGGATCACTGCAGCTCCGAGAGTCCACAGAGATTTACACTGTGCAGCTTTAAAAGCAAATGACAACAATGAATTGAAAGCTGGTGTGATCTGCGCCGGAATGGTAGAAATAGAGTGATGGTTGTCATAAAGTCATAGTAAAATGATTCTGACTAAGCAGCTGATGGTCACTTTTCCTTTCAGACGTTGAAGAAGGGAGGTGGTCAGCAGGAGGGGCAAAAGGAAAAGGAGGAGATCCACTCTCTTCAGGAGCAGCTGGCTGCCTTGAAAGAGATCACAGTAGGTGGAGTTGCCATCATACTGCCATTACATCACCTCTCGTAATGGCTGCTAATTTGTATTTATTGCTCCACACAGACCAGAGTCTTGGGAGTTCCACCATTTCTCAAAAACGTCTTTGTCTGAAGTCACTGTTTAAAGTTTTTTAGAGTTTTCCTTTTGTGACAGCATCTCTGTTTTGAGCTTTGTTCCCATAACGTCTCTGTTTGCTTGTGAAGGAGAGAGGCAATGAAGGGACCAAAGGACAAAAGGCCAAGAAGGAAATCCCTAGAGTTGAGAAAGAGTCCCAAAAAGCTGCCAAAGCAAGTATGTGTACATTTAAATGAAATAAAATAAAGTAGGCAGAAGCACTAATACTTTATATATATACTGTACACCATACTGTCTGGATTGTGTTAAAGCACAAAGGGATATTGTTTCAATAGAGCAATGTGATACAAGCACATTAGCCTTTAATTGTCACCTGTTCAGATGAAAGTCACACTGTTGCAGGTCCTTGTCACAAAATAATTTTCCATTTACAAAAACAGACAAGAAACCTCGCAGCATCTGCTTCTGTTGTCAACTCACCAAGCCACAGAATGCTCCAAGATTTTGTTCATGCATGCTAATACCAGAAACAATTAAATGGTAGGCATGGGTTGAGCTGTGCCTTTTTCTTTTTCCAGCTGCCAGTAAAGTGCAACAGAACAAGATAACAGACCAATCAGAAGTCCAACAATCTACAAACTATCTGGACAAGTAAGTAACACAATGGAGACTTTAAAAATATATGGTTCTCTGGGCTTTAGCATATTATCCCAGTCAAATTTTAGTGTTTACATTGTAATTTTCGCATTGTCTGCTCGTTCTTCAGTGTTATTTTAATTGAGATCTGATTCGATGTGATCTGTTTCAGCTTGTGTATATTCTGTGGTAAAAAGGACAAGTCATTCACAGAAGATGGATTGGACCTTCATTACTGGAAACACTGTCCTATGCTGCAACGCTGCAGTGAATGTAGACAGGTAGACTTACATTCGCAGAAGGTTTATCACGTTTTGTAATCCTCTTGAACAAAATGGGTTTAACCACCACCACCTCAGTAATAAAGCATGAAGACATTGTGTGTATCTCTGCTGTGCGTTCACAGGTAGTGGAGATAGCCAGCCTCATAGAGCACCTACTGGGTGAATGTGAAAGCAATTCCAAGTTCAGCCAATGTCCGCGCTGCTCTGAGGCCGTGGCTTCTGAAGATTTAACTCGACACGTCCAGGGTCCTTCCTGCAACCGTGAGTTCTGTCATTGTTTTATCAGTGTGAAGGATTTAGTTGGTCTAATGGTGAGCTTGCAGATTGCAACCAACTGACTACCCCTGCCCGCACCCGTTCCTTTCCAAGCGAGTATGAAAACCATATGGTGGCCTTCAGGTAACATAAGAACGCGAAAGGTCGTCTCTTGAGCCACTGTTTGGTTTGTCTGTTCTGGGTTACTGTAGAAACATGGCGGTGCAACATAGCAGCCTCCTTGGAAGAGTACCCTTGACGAAGATATAAAGCGCTCATTCTAAATTTGTGAAAATACTAGGATTCTTAACAATAAAAAGGACGCACTTAAGAATTGCAGTTTAGTCTTCATTCAGGTCAAGTGTCCGAGTAAGACATGTCCATGTGACAGATGTGACAGCCACAATGCAAAATTTCATGTCCCCGAAGCTGTAGCAAATGGAATTTAGCCATAATTTTTTTTTATTATTTACACACACACACAAAAACACGATGAAACAACAGAAGATATGCTCTACATTCATTCAAGTACTTTTCCAAGGTGTTGGTTTCAGCAGAGTTTGGGTAAAATGCTAAAACCTGTTACCACTATTTAGTGTCTGAAAGGTGAGGTCAGCTTCTCTTCCAGCATCTGCTGTTTGTTTTTAATCAGAGAAATGGCCATTTAATGTTGATGTTCCCACTAACCTGAGGGTGAAGCTCACTTCATCAGTGCTATTTGTTTTGAGAACCAGCTGCTTTGAATATTTTTACAATACAAGGTTTACACTACATCAGCCATATGTTTCCATAAATAATTAACAGCTGCAATGAGCCTTTTGTTTTACCAAAACTTCAAGTCTGTCTCCGCTCTCTTGATAAGTTTGATTATTAGTATTTAGAAATGTGAATTGTAAGTCTAGATAGATAGTTTACCATTCTCCCATTTAAACTGTGGGTGGTATGGTTTCATCATTATCTCTAGAGTCTTAAGGGGACCTTTGCTGTAATTGTATAATGAGCTGCTTAAAGGTTTCATGTTTCTGTTTCAGCTCCCATCTCCGGTAAAGGCTCCAACCACTGTCCTTTGTGTCACAGCAACTTCATGCCTGGGGAGGAGGTAAGACGTATAGGACACATATAGGAGATCCAGATGTAACAGTTTTGTCAACATCATCTGAGTTACTGTTGTGTAACTATGGCTGGATTTCGGAAAATAAGGGTTCCCTCAACTTAACTCTAAACTGATGGTATGCTACATAAGCAACTAGAAGGGCACTCAGTAGAGCACATACAGTACCTCCACCAAGGCACAACAGTCCCTTTGTGAAACCACATTTAAATTCACTATATCCAGTTGTTTATGTGGATCTGCACCACATTTGTTTGTCTGAGAAATCAAGGAAAATGAAGAAAAATGTCCTATATCTAGCTATTTGAAAGTAAGTTAAAATTTGCAGATTTACTGCCTGATCCTGACACCAAAATGGTTTTCCTTGGGTCATGCCCTATCCGTCCACAATATTTCAAATTGGTTGGGTTGTTTTTGTGTAATCCTGCTAACTATCAAACAAGCCAACAAACAACAACATGATCTTTTTTTTAGTATAATCAACTTTGAGGTACAGGTATGTGAAACTGCTTTTTATTTAGTGGTTGTTCTGTTTTGTGTGAGAAAGGTTAAGTTGCTTCCCAGGAAATAAAATAGTCAAATTAATGAGAAAAAAAAAAAAGCTGGATGTGCTAAAGGTGAAGTTCGATAAAAGGTTTCACTGACTTTGTGATTGAATTTCACTCAGTGTGCTTTTCTATTTCCCCTCTTTTATATCAACACAGGCACTAGAAAGCCTCTAATATGAGGCCTGAGCAGCAAACAGGTGTTGAGGTAAAACACCACCATTGTTGGCCTTTTAAAGACTTCAAAAGAGGGAGAAGCCTTTCTTCTTACTGGGCTGTTTCATTTGTCTCACGATCAAGTAGATGCCATCGCATTCTCCACATTCCTATAGAACTCAGCAGCGTGGCTCCGGAAGATAAATATCCCATTCATTTACTGAAGAGATTTTCACTATCAGTCATAATATTGTAACCACTATATACATAAATAAAAGATACAAACTGCAATGTATTGCAACACTTTATCAATTACAAGGTTAGATTCAACAAGACGAACACTGGAAGGTGTATGGAAAGGGATCATTCGCAATGGTTTCTGGGAGGTGTAGTTCCTTCACTCTCGAAATAATTATGACCACAGTCCGGCACCTTTGCCTTTTTTCTGTCTTCCAATATTTTTTTTGCTCTGAATCAAATGTTTTATGGTCTCGTCTGTCGACCTGGTTTCATGTTTAAAATCCTTTTGATACGGATTTTCAAAAACTTCAGTGGAGAAAATTAATGGGAATTTTACTTCTGGAACCAGAGCCGATTTAAAAGTAAGCGTTCTCTGTTACCCTCTGTTTGTTTAAACTGAGGAATAAAGATAATAATATTCCAATTTTCTTTTGACACAAATAATAAACACTGGACAAAAACAAATCACTCTCTTGTTGTCAAAGGTTCTTTTATTTCCAGCAGTAGAAGCAGTTTTCCTCAGACCTGTAACAGGTCAGACAAGGTTGCAGATAAAGATTTTCTGCTGTTGGTCGTTTTATTCTTCAACAGGTTGAACTTATGAATGAGGAAATGCCATCACGGTGGGTAACCCCAAAATGTCACTTTCATGTTTTATATTATACATGTATACATACAATCTAACCACAGAGACAATCGTTTATTCTTGTCCTGCATACTTTAACCATGCTCATATTTCAGCTCTCCTGAGGCCGCTCATCCATCACTAATCCTTTGTGTCTGTCCACTTTTGTGTGACTGAGAATTTTAAAATGGATGTGGACTGCACCGCTAAAAGATGTAACAACCGTGTCTCCTCTCATTTGTCTTTTCCTCTGTGTCTGTCATTGCGGAGTCTAATGAATCATGCAACTCATCTTTAGAGGAGCTACTCTTCCTACTGGTACCTCAGATTGGAACTTTATTGTTGCTTGATAGGCTGTGTGTTGCCTGTGATGTTGAGGGTGTAAGTAAGTGTGCTGGTAAAGTTTGATAATGTCAGTCCTGTTTTCTGATTTGCCGGATTTGAAAGAAAACAACTTGATAGAAGAAAAGATAGTAGTCACAAAGTAACAATCATTCTCTCAAGCTAAGTTCAGACTACACGTCTTTCAAGGTCGTGAAGTAGCTCTAACACTCTGTATATTTTGCTTGTGAGAAATCTATTCGCAGTAGTTGAGCCTCTTGAGTTCGCACATAACAATTGGCGACTGAATCAGGTAGTGTGAACCTGGTATACATGTTTGACTTGCAAACAGTTCATGAGAAGAAGTATTAATTCAAGTGGTGACAGCAGACCTCTTGGAAAAAACATACAAATGCAGAAGGACGACAAGAAGTAGGGGCCTATATTCAATAAAATGTCTTGTTAGCTTTTGCAGTTTTATACTGATTAGGCTGTGGTCAGGTGTACAACATATTATAAAGTCTAGGGACACACAGAGCACTGTATTGATTGAGTGTTAAATCAGCCTCTTTACCAGCAGACATTCTGACGTACAGCAGTAACAGAGAAGGTGCACCTGACTTACACAAGACTGAATCTAACCGGGTTCAAGCACAAGATAATTATCTCTTGTGAGACACTGCCACTGTGCTAATCATAGACATACAAAGGAAATCATTGATAATTAAACATTTAGTGGTTTCCTTTTCAGCCACTTACCCCTGATGTGTACATGTACATGTCAGAGATTAAGAGAGCAAGAAATACTGTAAATTATACTTCATCTGCGCTCTCATTCAGAAACAGAATCACAACATGCAGTCTGTCACCTCACACATCCTTAAAAGTTTAGTGATGAAGAAGAAACTAACGGAAAAGTCACACTCTCGCTGCCAGAGCTCCGAGCGCAGACCCAATGAAAGACAGCAGTGTTAGTGGGAGGGAGGGCGGCCATTCGGGCATTGACTGGGCCTACAGTCACCCGTGGTCGTCCCAGTCGAGAGGGTACCGGCGTGAGCACGGACTCACTGAGCTACTTTTGTCTCTGTTCCAGGCCTGGAAGGCTCACCTCATGGGCAGGGAGGGCTGTAAACAAAACTCACGCAGGACTGCGGTGTCCCAGAGAACCCAGCCAGCACAAGGTAAAGCATTCATACGCCCCCCGCTCACACCTACATCCCCAATGCTGAGTGCGAGAGCTATAGAAAGTGCCTATGCTTGTTGGTGAAATTTTGTGTCGCTGCTTTTCCACTATGGCTTCCTGCCTCACAGCAGAGGAGGAGTTGTACAATGATGGTGCCAGATTTAGTGGGCGTTCGTGTTTCCATTTTTAGTGATATTTCACAGAATGTTAATAACTTTCTCAAGAAAATATCACAGTAACTGTTCAAAATGATCACATATATACAAAATACTCGGAAACCAATGCTGACAACGTTTAAGTCATAATTCTAAGATTTTATGATATGACACGATTGACTGTTTTCAGGAACAGTGTATTCACGTTATGTTATTACCTCTGTATATAGCAGCTTTCATTGTAACTGGAAGACTCTTGTCTTTATAATATAATCCGTCTGCTGAAGTGCACAGATAGCTATGCATACACACGTGCTAGCAGGAGACAAAAGCTGTTCCATGTGCACTTCAGCTGTCTCAGATAAGAAGGCTTGGCCTGATGAATCCTGGCAGTACATAGTGTGATTGTCTGACTGTCTTAATCAGACATAGGCAGAGTACTGCCCCCGGGCACACCAACCACTATGACAGCGTTGCAGCCAAATCCAATACAATGGAAGAAACTGGTTACCACTTCTTCAAACATAAAACAACAACAACAAAACATGAAATGCCTCCAGATGTTTGGATGACGCCAGAGGAGCAGTGTGGAACACAACGCTGTTTAACCCCTGTGTTTTGTGGACTCCAACACTTCACCCACAACTCTATGAGCATAGTGGTGATTAGATAACGAGTGAATCTTTTCTGTGAAATATCCCTTTAAGGATCATAACTGTGAGTGAATGTGACAATAGGCACATCACAGATGAGGATACTTAAACAGAAACTATCAAAATCTGAATGAACCATCATCTCTCCGGAGCTTCACTTAAATGCTACTGCTAACATATTAGATACTAAAGGTTTGGTACTCAAATGGGCCACTTGCAACATTTCAACAGTTACAGTTACAGGAGGGTTGGATTAAGGTTGACTGAGTCATCAAGTCCAAAAAAACTCAATAACTGTGGCCATGTAAGCCCTTACATTTTGTTGTGATGACCAGGTGCACACAGTGATATAAATGTGAGCTTGCTTTGACATTTTTCACTTTGGTCATGGTTCAAGTGTTTTACCACCCTTCTCAACGGCCAGTTTCTCTCTCTTCTTATCCTTAAGGGCACATTTTCATTCAACCTTCCTCTTTCCTTTTCTTGGCTGGTTTTACACTCACCACCACTTTACAAACGACTTTTGTTGTCAGACAAAATGTGGCTACGAGCCTGAAAGATGACCAGTGAGATGACTTCGTTGCAGGATGCGATAAAACCGTATTTCTGTCTGGATGGGGAATAGAGTGGGTCTGTTGTGTTTCTAAAGGGACAATGGCTCTGCAGTGAAGGTGTTTACTTATCGGTATTTCCCCCAGGAATGGTTAACTAAAGGATGATCCACATAGAAGGGAAAATTATGTCTGAAAGGTTAATAATTATTCAATAAGATTTAATTAAATTGATAAATCTTTGCAAATAATAAATAAAAATCATACTTGAATATAAATGGAGTATTGAACAAAGAATCCTGATCTGTTTACTGTTCCGTCTGTGATTCTGACGGTTTCCTGATTCTACTCACAGGCTGACAGAACCCACTCATTATCTTACTGTACTGCATATTTCAGTGAGCTCTGTGATAGAGTGACTGACCTCACAGTACATGATCTCTGAGTGTGCTGCTGCAATCTCCTCATGTCGTGAAAGCTGCATGTTTATAGTCACAGCACAGATAATTCAGACTGTTTTGTTCGATGGTGAACAGTGTGTCAGGACACAGGGGTTCTTCAGTGTTCTTGTAAAGGTTTAATGGATGTGTGTGTGTGTGTGTGTGTGTACAGGCAGGGCTGTCGGTGGAGCCAAGCTGAAGCAGTCCTGGTCGGTCGGGGCCAGAGGCAGACCTATTGGCAGAGGCAGTCGGATCCCAGCCCTGGCTTCTCTGGCCAGAGGACATTCGCAAGGGAAGCAGTGAAGCTGGTTCCACAACAGCACCTCTGGGGACATCCCAGCATCTCCACCCCACTTCCATGCTGTTCTGTTCCCATGTTCCTAAAGCACTTTGAGAAAAGATATAGAATGGATTTCAAATGTACTCACTGACATATGCAATAAGATTTTAAAGGCCAAGCCAGGCTTTTGTTTGAAGCCATCAATATGCTTTAACTTTTTAAGTCTACCAAAAAAAGGAGTACATCTGTTTTATCAGCTAATGTTCAGACTGGCATTACAACATGGTATTGCTTTCACTTATTTAGACACATGTACTCTTTCTAAATTCTCATCTTGTATTAGTCAGTGACAGAGAATCCACACAGAGAAGACATGACTGGAAACTTTCATCGTCAAATCTGTCGTGTTTAGTAAATGTGCTGACATCACTGTACCACCATGTCCCCCTGTAACAGTATGTGGGTGTGTAGTTACCAAAACACGACCAGTAGCATCTCCTCATTACACCAGTCTGTTTGGTAAATATTCACCTCTTTCAAGCTCCACACCCTCATTTCACAGAACAGGCTTCTGCTTATAAACACGTTGTCTCCGAGCTGAGATCATCTCATTGACGCCACCGTGACTTCATCAGGGTTACTTTCTCAGTCTCAAGACGGAGACACCCAAGACATTTGTTTTCACCAGCTTGCAAACCATCATGTTTTCCTATTTACTGCTGGATACAGGCAGTTAAATGTTGTTTTGAATGTGAACTTTTTATTGCATGGTAAACAAGGTACTTATCATCAATAGTGGTGTCTGAGCATGTTGGTCAAAAATCTCCAGTCCAATCCAGGATTTAAAGAAAACTAAAATTTATATTCATGATCACTGTTGTACAATCTTTCCCAAGCTTTTAAGTTGGTTATTCAGTGATGATGTCATCAATCATTGAATCTCAGCCACAGACGATGACGCTGTCTGATGCATAGAATCGCTCCTCTGCTTGTTGAAGGGTTAGTGAGAGGAGAGGAGGAACGAGGTTCAGTTACAAGCACGAGACTGAGACATTCTAGCAGACAGTGCTTTGGTCCTAAAGCCATTGTAGACGTGGTGTAGCTTTACCGTCAGCTTAACATTTTCATATCTGTTTACATTATTCTTTTTGAGTCATTTCATCCAGGAACAAAGCAGCAATTTGCCAAAGGGACGGTTCTTAAAAGCAGTTTAGATGTAATCTATTCTTCCTCATAATGCCTGTACTGGCAATCCTGAGAAGATGGCAGGTTTCTGTGCTTTACTACTATTTACTAGTGAGACACAGAGTAGACCTTTGCAACATTTTTAAAAAGATGGAGATAAATGTCAGATTTAAAGCAGCATGTATATACACAGAACTGTGATCATGTTGATTGTAATGTGTCTGTGGTTCATCAACAGTTCACGCAGAAATAACAAACGTCTGTGGGTCTCTGAACTAACGGAAACATCCTTTAAAAATAGTTTGAGGGAAGGTCAGATTTTTTCATACATGATACGAGAATGTAAAATTCTTTGTAAATGTTCATTATAGCATCAACTGTTGTATTACTTCACAAACAACTCAAATATTCTAATATAGCTGATAGTATATATTTGGTCTCTAATTTGCCAATCAATTATATTGGCTCTAACGTGCTTCTGTATTATAGTCTGTTGCAACAGTGGATACTGATAATGTTTTCTGAATACATTTAGGAATTAAATGACTATTTTTCTGCAAATGTGAGTGTATTTGTTTAAATAAAGCATCATAAAGCTGCACTGCAGATGTGATTTCACACGACTGAAGGTTTCTGTCACTATTTCTACCAAAGTGTTAAAATGATTTGCGATGAAGCTCTGTCAGCCATTAGAAATCTGGAAACACCCTCTGATACACAAAGAACATACAAACACCCTCTTGTTGAAGTAATATCCACTCGTCTGAAGTGATGTCATTTCCCGGTGATATGTTGTTCTCCAGCTGTTGGCCACTAATCACACACTCATTCATTCTGTATTTATACATTTGACAGAGAGATTTATTTACACTATCATATAGAAATCCACAGTTTTACAGACCAGTTTCTTTGGGGTTTTCTTTTGGCCTGAAAATCAAACGCAAGTGAATCAACACTTGACAAATAACAGGTGACATAAAACAATATATTAAGTTAAATTCAGATCATTTCGATTTTTTACAATTTCAATACCCTGCAAGATAATCACTCAGCTAAGAATGCGCTTGTTTGAACGATTGTGAGTCCCAGTAGTTCATGTTACACATCCTGAAATCTCAATATAACAATAAACTCAAGTGTTTCTCTTGAGTCAGGACTTTCTGTGAGGACACTGGATGTCAGGTTTAAGACACTGGAGCCAGGAGACTCCACTTTGAGATGGCACAGAGAATCAGAAACCTGCCTGTACTGTTCGGACACTGTGTGGTAGTGGTTTCACAACATGGAAAATCCCAGTAGCAAGACATGGAGTGGTAGAGAGGAAATCCATCCTGCACCACCACTCTATTCATTTTATACTGATGCAGTTGTTTGCCTGGTGACAACCCCCAATTCCATTCATTGAAATGTGAAAGGATCATCATGTGTGAAGACCACATGATGCAACATATATGGAACGAATTCAGTTCAGCTTTGGTCATTGTCTATGCTTGATTTAACCTGACAATCATACGGAGGTCCTTTGCGCGCACACCAGGTCCTCATTGTGCACCACGCTCCACATCTTGAGCAGATCCACTGCGCTCAGTTTGTGCACCACTATGAGGTTTTTGTAAAAGCAGGGCTCGGTGTTCATGGGGCTCACCCTGCGCCGGGTGATGCCGAAGGTCCTGAAGCCCGGGTGCATCTGCGGCGCCAAGCGGAGCTTCTGCAGGCACATGCCCAAAAACACATCATCGATGGGGTACAACTCCTGGCTCTCCGAGACCACGAAGAGCCTCCTGGCCAGCGCGGAGGACATCAGGAACCCCCCGCCGCCCACATAAGGCGGGTACGGCTTGTCGTACAGCTCTTTGGGGATGTAGTACTTGCTCTGCCTGTTCCGGATGGGGATCGCCTTGGAGATGGTGTCCCCGACGAACAGGTCCGCTTCTTTGCGCTCCTCCACCCTGAAGGCGATCAGCTCCAGCAGGTTGTGCGTGTTCACAAAGACATCATCATCCCCCTTGAATATGAACTGGACGTCGGAGCAGTAGATGCCGAACCATTTGAGGAAGTTGACCTCCTTCAGGGTCAGGTTGAAGAAGGTGTCCATGAAATCCCACTGCAGGATGTCCCCGTAGATCCGGTCCTCGTACTCGATCAGTTTCTGGAGATTCTTGGTGTCCTTGCCGGTCGTCGGACTCCCCAAAAGAAACAAAGTTTTGATTCTCTTCCCGTCGATGGTGTGCTCCCCTCCCCAGGTTTTACGCACGGCCTCTCGCCGGTCGTGCTGCTCGATTACAGACTTGACTACCATGAGGAGGTGCACGTCTCCGTCCGCGCATTTCTCCGGATGGTTGATGAGCATGGGGAAGTACCTGCAGTGTCTGTGCAGCACAAACTGGTGGAATCTAGAGTCCAGGCGCCGGAACCAGTCCTGGTTCTTCACGGACGCGTTCTCGCTGCAGTTGAGAACCTGCGCGTCCCAGGACGCAGGGGTCCCGTTTGAAACCCGCGGCGCGTCCAGCTCCTTGTGGAGCACCGGGGAGTCCGAGCTCCCCACAGCCCGTTTAACGTCTCCCTTCTTGAATGAGAAGCAACCGGGTCCGCACCAATCTGCGTCCCTTGTGTGTTTAACCCCCAGTCCGTCCTTCTCCGCCAGCTTCAGCCTGTGGATCATCAGAAAAGACGCAAAGACCAGAGAGAGGCTCAGCAGCGGCTTCAGCAGACCGAGTCGCTTCCTCCGGAAAAGGTGATCCATGGCTGTCAGCGCTGCGCCCCGCAGAGACCTTCACAAGCTGGACCCGTCATAGTGTTTCTCAGCAGCGTGTCCGAGGGTAGTCCACCACCGCCGCTGTCCCTTCTCAGGTGGACACCGCAGGCTAGGTGAGAGCGCTGACAGTGGAGTGGCCCCGGGGCCCCTGCTGCACATGTCCCCGCTCCGTAAAGTCACACATCACCTCTCCTCCTGGTGCGTGTTTCTGTTTGACTGACTGAAGAGAGCTGCAGGACAGACCCACGTCTTTCTCACTCCCCCCCACTGCCACATATCTCCTCCCCCATCATCAGTACACTCATCTGCATTTAGCATAGACATTTCTTTCTGTCTTCTTTCTTTATTTCTTTAAAACAATACAAAAACTATATATATGTCTTTCTTTCTTAAAAAACGATACAAATTATGTATGCCCTTTCTTTCTTTCTTTCTTTCTTTCTTTAAACAACACAATAAAAACTAGTATTCTTTAATTCTTTCTTTCTTTCTCACAATATCAGCCTAGGCCAAAGATAATATAATAGATATGATAATAATCATAGTCTATTAGGCTACAAATACAATTCAATACAAATGAAACAATGATACAATGAAATAATTCACATTTATTAGAACTTTCTAATACTACCACTACTATAGACACAATCCAATACAACACAAAGCATGATAAATATTGCCATTCACCAAAACTAGTGAATAAGAGCACGTCTTCATGCTTCAACATTTTGGAAAACAAGTTATATTCATTTTCAGATGAAAAAAATTTAACTGTCTATTTTTTAAATGTATATATTTATGGAATATATAGAATTTGACCGAAGAATAGAATCAATCAATAACTAATAATCATAGATATTTGCTGTGATTTCATGAGATGAAACCATCATTAGGAACTACAGGAACACATATCCTAAAAGAATAGGGCCGTACACAAAGGGAACGTATGTTGGTGTTATTTAGAAAATGAACAATTGTAACTGCTCATATGATTAACCATGGGGTGTATGTTCGGACCCATTGTTAGATCACTGATCGCTTGGTTCCATATTCTGCCCCCAGGTCACACAGGTCACCCACACAACAACTTCTTTCAAGCTTTAGTCTCCTGTTCAGTCCAACTGTCTAATCCCAAATTAAACCTAATTTAAACTGCTTCCTTTTTAACCGTGCTTTGATTTCACCCTGATTATGTCTTATGATTCTGTTAATATCATTATTTGATTTCCAGTTCATCTTCTTATTATCTCTTTTATAGATTTAGATGATATCACTGCACTCCATATCCTTTCTTTTAATCTCTACTTTGCTCTAATTATAAAGCACTTTGGCTCAGCCCCTTTTGTTTTTAACATTCTATAGAAATAAATCTGACTTGAGTGGACTGCAGTGTTGGAACAGGCCTTCTACCACCAGTTTGTAAACCATATACAATTCTCAAATTACTATATATTTGAACTAGTAGTGTTGTTTTTTCTCAGCCGTATTTGTAAATAGCCTGTTTATATGTAACAGGACAATGTCAAACATGTTGTTCATATGGGTGGCATTGTAAAAGGCACTCAGCGCCATCTTGTGGATATTTCTTGTAATTACATTTGGCTATCGCCCTCTTGCTCAACTGTTCTGTCAACTCACACAACTTAGTTAAACCTAAACCACAAATTTACATCGATCTAACCATGGACCTGTCAATCGCTGCGTGTGACTGGAGCAACAGAACAAGTCATCGGAGAAAATGAAAAAGATGAGTGCCCCTTAAAATACTGTTATAATGTTGGTTGGTAACAGTTGTTAGTGGATATTGTCACTGTTATAATGTTGGTTGGTAACAGTTGTTAGTGGATATTGTCACTGTTATAATGTTGGTTGGTAACAGTTGTTAGTGGATATTGTTTGTCACTGTTACAATAGTGAATGAGTGGTGAGTGGTGTCCTAATTCCTAGGGGAGATAACTACCCCCTGTGGCTTCTTGTTTGGAGGAAACCCTTCATATTAAGTGTTAGGGCCTTTTGTTTAATCTCCAGTCCATGGTCAGGACAAAGGGAGAGGACCTGGGACAGGGCCCACAGCCAGAGTTTAAGGTGGAGGAGTGTGAACACTTTGACCCTGAACTGAACCTCAGCAGCAGGAAACACGACACACAGTGAGGCGGCTCCACACACACACACACACACACACACACACACACACACACACACATTTAGAGGTAGCTGCGCCACACAGCCGTGTAGCGTTAGCTAAACACAGCTGCTAGTTTACGCTAATACCGATCGAGGAGCTGGACCCTTTCATATCGAGTCGGTAGACGAACAGAAGGAAAACACTGGCGGACGATGCACGAGGTGAGTGTTAAGCCGAGCAAACTGAGACGCTGCTAATAAATGAGTTGCTGTTAGCTTGTTGCTATCTCGTTCGCTTCTTAGCTTGTCTTTAGTTGACGTGTGAGTTGATTATCGGACAGTTTAGCTAGCTCCATTGAGATAACAGCTTTGAGTCGTTGTGTCCACTCACACAGTTGGAGGCTAATTGTCGCTCCACGTGACTCCTGCTTATTTATGCTTCATATGCCTCTCAGCGCCATGACGTAGGTGACGAGACTTTGTAGGGAATTCGGTTTTTAAACGCTCAGCCACCGTGCGGGACACATGGCATTCTCTAAATAAATTAAGTGCTAACTATATTTTGTTAAGTTCAATTCGGCTGAACACGAGAACGCCTGAGAGGGTTAAATGAAACGTACGAAGGGACTGAAGCCCAGTGTTTAATGGAGGTTCTGAGTCATGGCTGATGAGTAAAAATGCCAACTTTGTGGAAGGAGTTTGGTCAGCAGATTGTAAGGGCGTTGTTGGAAGAGGAAAAAATCATGGATGGGATTAAATGCATTATTGTTATTGTCTTATTATTAATAATAATAATAATCATATATTCAGTGTGTCCGTTTAAAGTTTCTGTCCAAGGCAATGAATGGAAGCAGTTGTTTCTGGTTGACAGGTTCATGTATGTGGATGATATGACCAACAATTATAACAAGATACAAATGTTCAGATCAGCCCACATTGAGAATTATCACGATCGATGTCACATTATTATTTCTGTTAAGTTTAAAGACCAATTGTTGCTCCTGAGTGTTTGAAACTCAAGACATTCTACAAATCTGAGGTAGATCAACAATGAGTGAATCCTCCTCACTGTGTCACACGATGTATAGTCATTATATCGATATAGATTTTTTAGAACAAGATGGTGAATATCCCTTGATGTGAAGTTGCCAAACACCAGCAGATATCAGGGATCACCTGCAGATATTAGTGACCACCAGCGTTTGTCAGGGACATATCTTCTGTTGTGCTCCTTAGTGTCATCAGGTGTTTTGGTCTTTTAATCACAAGACCCTTCTGCTAATGAAGGCCCACCACAGCCTGAAAACAACATTTCAAACACATTGGAAACATTTTAAAAAATAACACTTGATTATGTTACTGACAGGGAAACCTGACCATGAAGAACACTCCTTGATGTTGGAATTGTATGTGTGAAGGTTTGCATGCGAACGTCCATGTGTTCAGTCATGCTCCACAGCATGTCGCTCACTGGGCCACCATGACTTCAGGCAGCAATAAATCACTGCTTCATCTTTATCCGATATTTCTCTTCTCCAAAAGTGAAGATTTATACGTCCCTTCACTTCTTCGACGTATTTTCCTGGGAACATCTTGACTGACTAAAGCCATGCGTGACATCACTAATATGCTAAACTCAAACTACATGACAATGATTACCTGAGGCAGCCACTTTAGGTATGTGTCTGCCAGAGTTGGTACACAGCAGTAAAATACTTCCAACATGTTGATGCTCTTAAAGCTGGATCACAGAACCAGAATGAGCAGTAAATGGAAGATAACACTCTCTTTAACAGGCCTGTGTGGAAAGTGATATCAGTCCATCGAAATGCCTCCCTTCATTATATACAGTTGTTTTCATGAAGTGGTTGATGTGAGCATTGCTTCTTTGGATTAAAACAAACCACATTATGTTGCTTTGCAGATGCCGGGTCAACATGGCAGCTTGAAGTCCAGAAAGAGGAAGAGCAGCTCTGAGGTCAAAAGCTCCAGAAAGGTTTGTGTCACATAGTTACAGGTGTACAGGAGCGAACAGCCTTTACAAAGAGCAAGTGAAGACAGCAGTCATGTGCTGCGGATTCTAAGTCAGCATATCTCGAGTTAAATTATGTCTGTATAATAAAAATCTGATGTCTTTTCCTGAATGGGATTGTTCTAACTTGCTTTACTTAGCAACTGCATTTGAGAGGAGGGGCTCTATGTGAGAACACTTGTCCAAGTCAGTCGCTCAGGAAAGTTTTTCCAGAACTTTACCGTCCAGCGCCCTTGTAAAATTAAAACATTCGCCATGAGCCAGTGGACATGTTTATGTTTCCAACATGAGATGGACACAAAACTAATAAAACAAACAAAAAGAATACAAATATTTCAGGATGAAAAGAGGAGCCATACATGAAAAAGATGTATATGAAGGTGTCAACTTAGAAAGACAAGGAGATTCAGCACATGTAAGCAGCAGAATTAATACATCATATCCTGCCTCCTGCATGCTTTACTTGCTTTACTCAGGCCTTAACATTCAGGACATTTTCCTGTTGACATGAAGACGTTTGACCCAGAAGACCTCCTGCTCCGTTCTTCATATGTGAAGGACATTTTCTAGAGTTCATGTCTGAAAATGTCTAGAGTAAAGTACATGGCCTCATCCTATTGCTGGTTTTCATCTTTATGTCACAGGTATCTGCTGCCAGGAGATATATGAAAAGCTCAAAGACACACTCAGCAACAGCGAGCAGTTCATCAGTCAGTGGTGACAGCAAAGCAGCCGCCACTCTGAGTAGTCACTCTCGCATCAGCTGTGAGTGCCACCAGGCCACTAGCAGGAGGAGATGCTCAGCGTCACCAGAGCTCGAGGGACCTGAAGGCAAAGAGAACGAAATGAGGACGGGGCTGGCTTTGGACAGCTGCAGACTGAACAGCACCCAGGAGAAACAGGAGCATGAGGAGATGCATTATGAAGAAACCAGCAAAGACGTCTTCCCAGATGACGACAGCAACCAGATTCTGCCTGTAGAGCAGTTCTTTGGAAACCTGGATATTGTACAGGTGAGGCATTTGTTTACCTCAGTGACTGGGACAACCTGCAGCTGAAATGGAATGTTGCTCGAAATCAGTTTAAGTAGAAGCCTTTCCCACTGACGAGCTGTGTAGAAGTGGCTGTGTCAAAGATACCAACGAGCACTGAGGTCTGTTTTAAATCTTCCACAGTTTGATTCGCTGACATTCAGATATTAGTTAATGCTCAGTCAGATGACGAGATCTGTGTGATATGACCAAAAGCTCCAGAACCAGTGTATAAGATGACCTTGAGATTGTTTTGTCTGTTGCATTAACACTTTACGGCACATTTTAACAAGCAATGTAAATGTCAAGATGATCTGAAATCACCTTTCAAAAAAAACACTACATGTTATCTAACCAATAATCCATTGAATAATTCCAGAAATCTCTGTCTGTCTATTTGTCTTAATGTGGAACACATATCTCGAGGACCATTCATCTTATCGCCAACTGTTTACTACATTCATGCTGTCAATTTTTATAGATTTTTTTATTTGAAATATATGTTTGAAATGTTCATTTTATTCATAACAAGGATTTTAATGTGGACTATTTCCTCTCCATTAAATCTAGTTTGATTTGTGTTTCGTAAATGATGCTGAATTAACTCCAAACTTGACTCTTTTCTACAGGACTTTCCTGAAGGATCGTCAGCCACTTCTGCCTCTGTCCAGAGGAAGCACAGGAGACGACATTACTACGCACGAGAGGACAGTGATGAAGAGGAGGTGGACCTCATCAGTACGCAGCAAGATGACACAGGAAGCATTTAGTGATGAGTAACAGCCCTGCTGAATGAAGCGATGTCTGACGAGGGACATTAAACCTCTCAGCACTTAAGAAAAAGACACCAAATGACACTAAATGTGGGAGGATTCATCCCCAGCCTGCCTCTGTCACCGTGCTGAAGTGATGCGCAACAGCTCAAAAAGTCACAGAACCAGTAATGACTCCAAAAGTTTCAAAGCACTAATGGTAAATTTGGAAATGTCCGTCCACACGCACAAGAAATGCCAAGTTTTTCTAACCAGAACATTTGGGCCGATTCCTGAACATTGAATTAACAGCACAACAAAACAGTAGCACTTATTAATAAATTGGTGCTCACACAACCCCTGGTTCAGTCGTATGGGGACTTTATCTGGAGGATGTGTTGACATCACTTTATTTATATAAATCTGTCCGCACACTGTCATTTAAGATGATGTTTTTGTTTGAGTTTATCTTTGAGAAACAAAATATTGCGCTGAATTTAAAAAAAACGAATTTCTTCACAAATCTTAAAATGACAAGGTTTAAAATAAAAAATGCAGATGTTACATTCTGCTAAAAGCAGCACAAGGAAAGAGTTCAGACTGTATGTATGTGATGAGGAAAGAAGGAACACGCAAAAGTACAGTTTCAAAATTATATCATTTAATATCATAAATTCACTTTTGACGTTGAAGTCAGTACTTTTCTGCAGAAAGCTCATTATTCACCAAGTGTCTCATGATCCTCCTTAATTCATCATGTGCTCAGTTATTTGTGGCAGCTTATTAACACAATGCACCCGTCTGTATAAATGCATATCAATGCAGCTAATTTAAACTGACATCGTTTCTGTTTGGTTCATATTTGCAAAAATAACAATTACATATTAAATGTTTAAAAAAATATGATTTTAAATGTTTGAGGTTTCTGATACAAAAGTTGTCAGTTTTGTATCATTACTGAAACTGCACCTTGAAACTGCCATGTAGTCCTTTAAATTAGAGGTTTATAGTAAATGCAAGAGTTGTCTGTTATAAATTTTGTATATAGCTGATTGTTCTGACTGCCCAAGAAAATGTATATATATTTTTACAGCCCTATTTATGCAAAATGCTTTTCATATTCTTCTATGCAACCTTTTTGACTTAGCGAATGCCTTGTACAGTAGAGTGTGGATACCCCAATGGGTTCTGACAAAACCTTTGAAATGATGTTTGGGTTTTTGGTTGGTTCACGTCGGGCTGTCTTGATTTTTTTAACATCGGGCTCGGGTCAGGTTCAGACAAAACAGGGTCCAGACAGAATATCAGCACTCTACTGTACAGTGAGCTGTCATTGTAATCAGTTCATGCATTGTGCCAACACAAAGATCAAATAAATGTTTTTCATGATTTCAAATGAAGTGTAATTATTGCTCACGTCTAACTAACCTCTGTTAGTCTGTGTTAAAGCTCTGCAGGGTGCACTGGTTCAGAAAGAAGATGATCATGATAGTGAGGTAAAAAAGGTAAAGTCACCTTGTTGTTGATGTGATCCTGCTACATGGACCTGAGAGAATTATTCACAGCACTCATCACAGCTCATCAACATAAATTATAAAGAACTTTTTCAGTGTATTTTAAGTTAACGGCCTCTTCTTGCCTTTGGCTCTCAGATTTCTCTTGTCTGTGTTCCTGGCGGCTCTATAAATCTTCTTGGCGTCACACAGCAGGTTGTGAGCTCCTTTCTTGTGGCACACGATGTGAACCAGCTTCAGGTTTTCCCTGGTGAACAGCAGGTGGTAGAAGTAGGTCAGGTTGACGTCGGCGGTCTTGTGATTTTGGAGAGCTTCCAGCAGAGAGGGAATGATCGTCCTCTTCTTCTCTATCCTGGGCAACGGACGAAGGAGGAATGGTAAGTTTGTCCATAAACCAGCCGACATAATGAGAGGAAGCAGCGATTCTGTGCCTGACGACAGGTCATTAACTATCATGGCTGGTTTATGTGTTATTAGAACAGTGATTAGTTTAAACATTAAGTCATTGTGCACATCATGAAATTCACATTATAAAAGCACATTGTGATAACTAAAATCCATTGCCCATACAAATATAACACTTTAAAACATTAAAGATTGTGCATTAAATTCTGTTCTGTATGAAATGTCAGCTGAGCAATGAAAAAGAGAAATTAGTTTCTGTTTTACACTAGTTGAGGAAAATCTTGGCTATCAGTGTATTTTTTAGACTTTAACACATAAAACAATATATTGTGTGTGCATAATGTGACTGAACTATAAATAGATGTTTGCAGCTCAAAATTCACTCCACAGAAATGTGATCGAGTTGGCACAGACTGACTGTTAACCGACAGGTAGAAAAAAAGTCTGAAATCCTAAATGTTCTTAACGCACGAAGCTTAAGTTGCCCTTTTGACTCAGCGCAAAGTGTCCAACCTGTGGTCCAGATTCCACGTGCTGAATATGATCCTGCTCTCTCGGCTGCCGTAGGGATTGATGGAGTGGAGAGACTGACACACGTCCTGGTCAAATGAGCCCTGAGGACGTAACAGAACCGCAGGACATGTAGATATAAGTCCCACACTAAAAGACATATTTTAAGCTAAATAAGCAGGCAACACCACATTTCCACCGTAGCACTGCTGCAAACAGACGCCAAACTAACAATTTGTGATGTCACAAACTTAAGGAACCAATCCTGTCATGCTGTGATGGTGCGGAGACGAGTTACATTCAAGCCATTTTAAGGCCATGAGGATAATTTCTTTCCTGACAAACATTTTGAATATGTAATTTTTGAGGGAGGAGTTTCCGGGGGGGGTCTAAATCTACAGGAGTGGGAATTTAAAAGATCTTTCAAAATCATTTGGCAGTTTGGTCACATGTTGTTGTTCACTGCATGTTCATCCAGGTCTGGTAAACGTGTGTTTTTATTCCTCTCTTACCTGGCAGGTAAACCACCCCTCCTGAGTGCAGAGGCGATCTGGCTCCTTTCCAGTCCTGTCAAAGTAACAGCCGTTGTATTTCGCTTCTTTCAGCTTTTCTGCCAGACATGTTGATGCTTTCAAGAACTCCGCCCTGTCTTTGGCCTTCTGAATGGTTTTGGTGGCATCATCCACCTAAGGACAGAGACCAAAACAAGCTGTCAGACGTTACGTCAGACCACTGAGGAGGATTCATTGTTCGTGGTCCTACCTCCTTCATGTAACCTCGTATCCTGCTTTCACAGTTAAATTTCATGTAGGCAGACTTTGTCTTGAATCGAGTGTCGACACCTGAAAATCAAACCCAACTCATCAACAAGCTCAAGTGCAGATACATTTGTTGGAAGTGTGTTTCTGTTTGATTGGAGAATTTGTGCAGCACATGCTCATTTATATTTCCCCATGGTTTCATTAGTTGCATCACCTTCCTTCACATTGTACTAACTCAAATATACATGATAAATAACTTTAAGAATAATGTTACCAACACCTCACAGCTGTGAGTCCTACTTGTGATAATATTTGAGTCCTGTCCAAATCTTTTTAGTCGTCACTCAATCCAAGAATTCTTTTTAATATGAGAAGGGTTTTAATGAGACTTTGTGAAGGTTTCAAGTTATCAAATGTCACGTTGGAAGTTAATTCTTTTAAAATCCTACAGTATGTATCACTGTGTTTTTAAGTCACCATTTGATTCAAGAGGGTCTGTATCCAGTAGCCATCCTGGCATTTGTTGGAATATTTCAGCACTGCAATACGACATGAATCATGGACGATTAAAAGCTCCAGAGCGGTAACTGGCCACTGAATACTGTCGTAAACCTTCAGACTCTACTGGCAGACTGACAAGATCAGATAATAACTGGAAGTCGAACGGTGTCATGAAATAAGTTAACAAAGGAAAATAACGACTATCAGGCTTTTTTTTTTTTTTTACTTTGTCAGACTTATCTGGACTGTTGACATTTTGTTAAAGTAGCTTAGATACTCCTGCTAGAGGAGATATTATATCTCAATGGGACCTTCCACATTAAATAAAAGATAAATAAAAATACAATAATTAAATGCTTAATAACATTTCTGCACTTCCTCATTTCCCTGATAATATTCTGTTTAGTTTTCATAAGCCTTTATTCAACCTGGCGGGTGCATGTGATTACAGCTGTAAACAGCTTCTTAGTTCTCAAGAGCTAATCTCCAAAGCTGTTGGGTGCAATGTCCAATACACACAAGCGCCTGAGATTTTAGATTTTTATTATTTCGTAGAGCCTTTTGTAATATAGCAAAAAAAAGCTTGTCTTAAATTTGGCAGTCAAAAACATTGGTCTCTTGTGTGTGAGTGTCTACATCTTTTTTATCTTCCTTTCTAATTTTGCACAGTATAGATAGAACTACACAAGGCAACAAATCTAATCCGTTAATTTGTTTTCTCTAAATCTTTTGACAACGTTGTCGTTTGTTCAGAATCTGCTGGTTAAAGTCGATTTGAACAGACGAGTGTTCTTGTTATTAAAACTGAGCGAGTACTGTTGCTGCCGTATCTGAGCGGCAGGGATCACTCACCTTTGAACCACTCTTCATCCTCCTCTCTGCTCTCCAGCTCAGATCTGTCCTCCAGGTTCTGCAGCAGGTCGGTCAGGATTTTACGTCTCTTGGGAGACTGCTCGTCAGACAGGAGGACCTTTGCTGCTTCGATGAGTCCATCTGCGTGTCGGTCTGTGTTCAGTAAATTGCCAATGTCACACACAACTGAAATTAAAAAACATAAGGTTTAAGAAGCAACACTGTCATCCTGGCTCTTAATCTACAGTTTGTCTGGTCAGGACAACACAGTTTGGGGTTGAAGCATTCGTCTTGAATTTTTATGAATTTTTTTAAGGTGTCTTGAGAGTGTTGTGATGTTTCACCTACCCCCGCTCCACGTCTGCCCTTTGGAAAGAAGAACAAGTTCAGTGTGGTCAGGGAGAGTCAGGAAAAACTCCTCCGTCACTTTGGTCCCATCAGAATACAAACAAACGTGAGCACCAACCAGTGGCACCTGGAACGTGGAAGAAATTAGAATCAAATAATAACAATGAGTGAGGGTATTTCATGTTACCTCACAGACATATGTTAAGTGTCCTTGGGTCTCTTGAAAGGCGCTATATAAATGCAAGCTGTACTTTACATAATGTGCAGACAATCTGGATGCATGTGAGGACAGTGATGATCTGCATAGCTTGTCTTTGTTAGATTAAATGTTGCCTGTGATGCAGTCTCCTTTGATTAAATGGATATCTTTATCTTACGGACCATATTGGATAAACTCACTATGAAACGTCCTCTTCTAGGAACAGTGAGTTCATTCAGCATGTGCTGGTGGACAGATGATTATTGCTAGGGCCATATGACCGAACATTCGGTTTTTTTCCTTTTAAGTTTAAAGACTGATTTCTGTGAAGGTTGTGGTTTTAAAAGGGAGGGAACGTTGACCTGGTGAGGCTTCTTGTGTGTGTGTGTGTGT